GCTTGTGTGGAGTAAATTAAATGTTTTGACTGACATTCTGCAGTTTAGCCACAAGATGTCACTGTTTTTCTAACACAGCCTCACACTGCATAGAGATTTCTATATTCATGAAGAGGTGGAGTTTTCACACAGAGGAGAGAGAGCAGCCATGTTCTTGAGAATGGTGAATGAAGGGGGCCGTGTGAGCTGAGAATCTGATGACATCCAGGTGTGAGAGCACCCCTCAGTAACCAGAGATTGCTGCCAGGAATGCTGATGAGATTGCTGCCAGGAAGCTGATGAGATTACTGCCAGGAAGTCTGATGAGAGCAGAGGAACTAAGCAACATATACGGCAAGACCACATGCTTGTTGGAGAGACTTTTGTTCTGTTCAGAGTCACCAGCAGATGCAAAGCAGACCCGGGTCGGTAAGATCGTGCACGCACCTCATTTCAGTGTTGGCGCCTTGAGACTGAGTCCAGGCCTATAGTTAGTTAGTTAGGGTCTCTGTTTGTGTCAGGCCACAAGTGTTGTTACTTATGATTGGAAGGACTCCACAACTTAAAGAGACATTTCACACTGGAGAGCTGATAAAATCCTACAAACTCAAGCCAATCTGGCATTTTGCTCAGAAGGAATACTCAGACATGTGCTACAGGACCAGTTATGGGAGGAGGAATACTGTAGATTTGTGTAAGATTGTAAGCTGTTGTGCTGCACCGCAGGCTAGCCCATACCGTACCCCCATACACTGGTTCCTGCTCTTTTAGGGTAATAACAGGTAAGGTGTGGCAGCTTAGTTGTGCCCGCCATTAGGTAAATTACCGTATTTTTCGCTCCATAAGACGCACTTTTTTCCCCAAAAAAATACTGGGCCGGCCGCTCAGCTGTTTTTCTCCTGCAGGGCCTTACCTGTTCCTCGCTCCAGTCTTCCAGCGCTGGCTTCTGTGGCAGCCGGGTGCCCACTGCGCATGCGCTGCGCTTTGTGAATGGTCAGGTGTCTTCTGGGACACATGACAGGTCCCAAAAGGCGCCGGGCCATTCACAAAGCGTAGCGCTTCTCGCGCATGCGCAGTAGGCACCCGGCTGTCACAGAAGCCACCGCGGGAAGAAGAGGGAAGGACAACTCCAAGAACGTGGGAGCGGGTATCTGTCAAATTCAGGTACCCGCTCCCCCTCCCTCCCCAAAGGTCAGCAGTCTCTGGTCATCTCCTTTACTGTCTGCAGTCTCTGGTCATCCCCTGCACTGTCTGCAGTCTCGTTATTCCCTGCACTGTCTGCAGTCTCTGGTCATCTGTACTGTGTCCCTGGTATTTTCCCTGTACTATGTCCGCAGTCTCTGCTCATCTCATGTACTATGTCTGCAGTCTCTGCTCATCTCCTGTACTGTGTCCGCAGTCTCTGGTCATCCCCTGTACTGTGTCCGCAGTCTCTGCTCATCTCCTGTACTGTGTCTGCAGTCTCTGGTCATCTCCTGTACTGTGTCCGCAGTCTCTGCTCATCTCTTGTACTGTGTCCGCAGTCTCTGGTCATCTCCTGTACTGTGTCCGCAGTCTCTGGTCATCTCCTGTACTGTGTCCGCAGTCTCTGCTCATCCCCTGTACTGTGTCCGCAGTCTCTGCTCATCCCCTGTACTGTGTCCGCAGTCTCTGGTCATCTCCTGTACTGTGTCCGCAGTCTCTGCTCATCTCCTGTACTGTGTCCGCAGTCTCTGGTCATCTCCTGTACTGTGTCCGCAGTCTCCGCTCATCTCCTGTACTGTGTCCGCTGTCCCTGGTCATCTCCTGTACTGTGTCCGCAGTCTCTGGTCATCTCCTGTACTATGTCCGCAGTCTCTGGTCATCTCCTGTACTATGTCCGCAGTCTCTGGTCATCTCCTGGACTATTTCTGCAGTCTCTGGTTATCTCCTGTACTATGTCCGCAGTCTCTGGGTCATCCCCTGTACTATGTCCGCAGTCTCTGGTCATTCCCTGTAGTATGTCTGCAGTCTCTGGTCATCCCCTGTACTGTGTCCGCAGTCTCTGGTCATCTCCTGTACTGTGTCCGCAGTCTCTGGTCATCTGTACTGTGTCCGCAGTCTCTGGTCATCTCCTGTACTATGTCCGCAGTCTCTGGTCATCTGTACTGTGTCCGCAGTCTCTGGTCATCTCCTGTACTGTGTCCGCAGTCTCCGGTCATCTCCTGTACTGTGTCCGCAGTCTCTGGTCATCTCCTGTACTGTGTCTGCAGTCTCTGGTCATCCCCTGTACTACGTCCGCAGTCTCTGGTCATCTCCTGTACTATGTCTGCAGTCTCTGGTCATCCCCTGTACTACGTCCGCAGTCTCTGGTCATCCCCTGTACTGTGTCCGCAGTCTCTGGTCATCCCCTGTACTACGTCCGCAGTCTCTGGTCATCCCCTGTACTGTGTCCGCAGTCTCTGGTCATCCCCTGTACTGTGTCCGCAGTCTCTGGTCATCTCCTGTACTGTGTCCGCAGTCTCTGGTCATCCCCTGTACTATGTCCGCAGTCTCTGGTCATCCCCTGTACTGTGTCTGCAGTCCATTGGTTCAGAATATTTTTTTTTCTTGTTTTTCGCCTCTAAAAGCTAGGTGCGTCTTATGGAGTGAAAAATACGGTACTTAACTTTCTACCTTCATCCATCAGGAGGCGCCGTGCTGTGCAGCACAAGGGTCTCAGCCTTTGGGCTGGGTGGATGTAAATTTATTGTATGTTTCCAGCATTTATGGTTGTGCTTATTTGCCACATCTAAGTAAAATTCTGTTGTGGCAAAAGCTGGTGTTGGGGTTGCTTTCCTCGTTCGTGACTTCACTGTATCCTGGGGAACCCACCCCGGTACACGGCTTACAACTGTACAATTTGGTATTGTATGAGAAAAAAATGTTTGTGCTTGTACCTTCAAATAATTTTGGACAAAAACTATGATCAGATAATCATATTATCGGACGATCACTTCAAAAGCGATATTTTTTGTACAATTTTCTGATTGTGTGTACTAGGCTGTAGAGGATCTATCAGCAGACAAACAGGAAGGAGCTGGGACCTTTCCTGATTCTTTTCACACAGCTTGATGATTCTTCACGAAGGAAGTGCATTTGCAATCATTGTTTAAAGTCAAGATGCAGTTTACGAGAGATACTCAGCGCATAATAATACACTGAAATCAAGACCTCTGAATAACTCATCAAGCTAAGCACTAGCCTAAAACAGAGCTTTTAAGTGAATAAGCCAAACATTCAAAATACATTAAAGGAAATGGCAAATATAATTAAATATTTATTTTCTGGACATTTACCAACCAAAACTTCTGCCTTTCCCACAAAAAAAGTACAACGGAGGGAAAAACAGCAGTTCTTTTGACCATACTTCTCTTGTAGGTTACAGGAATGCACTTACTTGGACTCTCCTGTGACCCAGAATCCGCTAAAACCTGATGTTGGCTGATGTCACAGAGCTGCCTCAGGCTCTAGAAGGGTCCTGAACATATTGTGGGGACCCACCCAGATGCCTCAGCCTCTCAGCACACTGCTGAGAACCTGAGCCAGCTGTCCGGCCCAATGCTCCAGTGAGCGCTGGAGAGGCAGAACACAGTGTGGTGACTGAGCGGACCTAGAACTGAGCAATTAGTGGTCGGGCAATCACTCAGTTCTTGGGTTTCGAGCCGGCAGGGGACAGCTGCAGCATCACACCAGTGCTCAGCATTGAGGTGAGTATTTATTTATTACAGGTACTTATATAGTGCCATCAATTTACACATCGCTTCACATATATATGTTGTACATTCACATCAGTTGAAGTCTTCAAGGAGCTTACAATCTAAAGTCCCTAACTCACATTCATACATACACATATATTAGGGCCAATTTCGGACAGGATCCAATGAACCTACCAGCATGTATTTGGAGTGTGGGAGGAAACCCAAGCAGGCATGAGAACATGCAAACTTCAGGCAGGTGGTGTTGTGGTTGGGATTCGAACCAGCGACCATGGTGCTGCTAGGTGGAAGTGCCAATTACTTAGCCACTGTGCTTCCCATGTACACTATATTGCCAAAAGTATCGGGCCGCCTGCCTTTCCACGCACATGAACTTTAATGGCATCTCAGTCTTAGTCCGTAGGGTTCAATATTGAGTTGGCCCGCCCTTTGCAGATATAACAGCTTCAACTCTTCTGGGAAAGGCCGTCCACAAGACTTAGGAGGGTGTCTATGGGAAGGTTGGACCATTCTTCCAGAAGCACATTTGTGAGGTCAGGCACTGATGTTGGGGGAGGAGGCCTGGCTTGCAGTCTCCGCTCTAATTCATTCCAAAGGTGTTCTATGCGGTTGAGGTCAGGACTCTCTGCAGGCTAGTCAAGCTCCTCCACCCCAAACTGGCTCATGTCTTTATGGACCTTGCTTTGTGCACTGGTGCACAGTCATGTTGGAACAGGAAGAGGCCATCCCCAAACTCTTCCCACAAAGTTGGGAGCATAAAATTGTCCAAAATGTCTTGGCACGCTGACGCCTTAAGATTTCCCTTCACTGAAACTAGGGGGCCAAGCCCAACCCCTGAAAAACAACCCCACAAACCTAGACATGTCCATTGGATTGCCAGACAGAGAAGCGTGATTGGTCACTCCAGAGAACACATCTCCACTGCTCTAGAGTCCAGTGGCAGCGTGCTTTACACCACTGCATTTGATGCTTTGCACTGCACTTGGTGATGTAAGGCTTGGATGCAGCTGCTCTGCTATGGAAACCCATTCTATGAAGCTCTCTATGCACTGTTGTTGTGCTAATCTGAAGGTCACACGAAGTTTGGAGGTCTTTAGCTATTGACTCTGCAGACAGTTGGTGACTTCTGCACACTGTGCGCTTCAGCATGCACGCACCCTGTCCTGTCGTTTGGCCTACCACTTGGTGGCTGAGTTTCTGTTGTTCTCAGTTGCTTCCACTTTGTTATAATCCCACTAACAGTTGACCGTGGAATATTTAGTAGCCAGGAAATGTCACGGATGGACTTATTGCACAGGTGACCACCTATCACGGGACCACGCTTGGAGTCACTGAGCTCCTGAGAGCGACCCATTCTTTCACAAATGTTTTTAGAAGCAGTCTGCATGCCCAGGGGCTTGATTGTATACATCTGTAGCAATGGAGGTGATTGGAACACCTGAATCACATGATTTGGAGGGCTGGCCCAATACTTTTGGCAATATAGTATATGTATGTATATATGATTTTATTACCTAAAAAAAAATTAAATCTTTAAAAGATAACTAAACCAAAGATAAATAATGCAGTATATAGTCCTTAACCCCTTCACACCTAAGGGTAAAACAAATCTAAATGCCTAAGCACAATTCTGCAACGTTGACATGTGTTAGTAAAACCGTACATATCATCACAACTACTTTGTACATCCAGGTGGATTATACCGCGTTTTTTTCAGGACAAATTTGGCTTTCATTTGGTGGTAAACTGTAATGGATAGCTCCTGATTTTTTTTTTATTATCAAAGGAAAACTGGCCCAAAATAGTAAAAAAAAAAATTGTTTTTTTTTTATTTAGCTGTGTGTTTCTTGTTACAACCATAACCTACCTCCATAGAACAACCCAAAATAAATTCTCCAGCTCTTGACGATTGCAGTGATACCATATATGTGTATGTGATTTGTTGTTTGTACCCGGAGTACAGCCCCAGAAACAATAGGGCACATTTTGTTTTTGTCTTTTTTTTTTACCTAAAACACACTGACACTGACATTAATGCTAACTGACACCAATTTTTTTAAATCCTGACCTTTGACCCTGACCTTTGACCCTGGCCTTGACTCAAACACTAACCCTGGTACTGAACTAGATCAAACCTTGATCTAGGTATTTTTCTTTATTTTTTTTCTTTTATTTTTTAATATTTATTTATTTATCTTTTTTTTTTTTTTACAAACTTTTTTTTATCTCTCTATGTCAGGAATTTGAGAGATACAATGTATCTCTCTTCTCCATTCATAGAGAGAGAAAAAACAAGGGGGCCGGACTTCACAGTGACTGATCACTGTGATAGCCAATCAGAGGCTATCACAGCGATCACGTGACCCGGAATCGGGAGTCCCAGGTCCCGATCGTTAGAACGGGACCCGGGGCTCTCAGTGACACCACGGTCTCTGTGCTGGGAGCGCGCCGAGCGGCGCGCTCCCAGCACAAAGACAGGTACACAAATATGCGGCCCCATGGAAAAAAGCCCAGTTCCGTGAGGCCGCATATTTGTGTGCTGTCGGCGTCAAGGGGTTAAGTGTGGTGGCTGCTTTGGTTTTCTTTTCTTTTTCTTTCTTTTTTTTAAAGAGAATCCACAATACCACACAAATGCCACATTTTTATATATAAAAGTCAATCACAAAATCTTGGCTTAGATTAGAGGTAAAGGCAACCAATCAGGTGGCATTTTTTTATTGTGTTTGCACCAGAATAAGCTAGATCAGCTTTTACCTATTTTTTAAATTATTTTTTAAGTATGTAAACATCCGTGTGTTCTACATAAAGAGTGGTTGAATGTGTGATTATGTAAAATCAGTCCTATTATATTGGATCATTGCATTTCAATAAATGCCGTTATTTATTTAACAGGATGCAGCCCAGGAAGGTCCCCCTTCAGTCCCCTGTGTCCCCTGTGTCACCAGCTCCCCATACCTCATTGGAAGTGACACATTGATAGCGGCTGTTTCTTTTCCTCTGAGTGACCTTCGCTGCTGGCCATCGATCCCAAGTGGCCCTCAACTCTGGGCAATTGGGATGACAAGCCAGGCCAGAGGTCAGTTGTTAAATAAAGCTTCTGGATTGCTAAATGCTTGAAGTTTCAATGAAAATGGAAATCCTTAGATTCATTTGATGGGGTGGCTCGTTTCAATGTCTGCCGGCTGGACTTCCCGAAGTCACAAAGCAACGGATCTCATCTCGTTTAGTACATATAAGATCCGAGGCTCAATGTGGCATAAGTAGTGATCAGCCAAATGTGCTCGGGTTCTGTTCGAGGGACATTCACCAAATAGTTTAAAAGAAGTTAGGAAATGGTGAATGTTCCCAGAAATCCATTTAAGGGAATGAATCTTGCAAATGAATTTTGCCCATTTTTAAGGCTAATAGGAAAGGGGTTGTCAAACAAGGGGCATGGGAGCTGAACATTACCATGGGGAACATATAATGATGCAATTTGTTTCCCCAAAAATATCATTAGATGAGAAAAGGCACTTTTAATAATGTGCCTCATGTACACGTTATAATCTATTAACATTTTTATGCAGACTCTTGTTGGCAGAGGCTGGATGACAGATCCCGAGAAAAAAAGCACAATTTATTTTCCATAAAGACCTCAATATATACATGCGTACAGGTGCAGAAAAACATGTGTACGTCTATTCACAAGTAAAATTCTCCTTCATTCTCTTCTAGCTGCCACTGTTCCAGTTTATACGTATACTCTTTTATGTCCTTGCATATCCATGTGTATATTTCAAAATTACTGCACTCAAATGTAATTTTGTTTTTAAAGTTCTGATGAAAAAAAAAAACCCCAGCATTTAAATTACTGGTAAATGACAGTTCCCAGCCTACTTATTCTGTTTGTAAACAAGCAGCTAAGGATCTCCTTTTACATCTTTACCACAGGCTAAAAGGTTTAGTATGAATTATAAAGGGACACCATGCAAAAAAAGTTTAGTTTGTATGAACTTAATATGAAAAAATATATGTGATACTAGGTTCACTTTGACAGTGACAACAGCAATCATAATAATAATAGTGTGTATATAATAATATAAAATGGAAACAGCGATAATAATAATAATAATGTTGATATACAGTGAACCAGTTGGATTTGGTCTTCACTTATCCTGAAATCTTTCTGCTGATGCTGAGACATTGAGTCCTGATTCACATATATGCGTGTGGGCCGTGTTTTGCGAAAGAATGAAAGCCCATTCATTTGAATGGACTCCCGTGCCCCGGGACATGCAAGGAAGAAGTCCCTGCACTTCTTTGGAAACCGCAGCCCGCACGGGAACATCGATTCCCAGTGCAGTTGCAATTTCCAGTGCGGGCGGCGTGCCGTTAGAATTAATGGCACCCGCCCGCGGGTCCGCATTCTTCTGTGTGGGTGGTGCCGCTGCATGGATTTTAGTACGGATCCACAGCGGCACCACCCGCACATATGTGAACCAAGCCTGAGAGATGTTGCATCCCCCCTCAATAATACCCTTTTCTACAGCTGGTGAATGGCCATTCTGTAAACAACCAAAATTTAAAAATGATGTTCCAATCTCTAAGGTTTGCATCAATGGTATTGAGTATAGTTGCTGTATTTATGCAGGTCCTTGCACTTCAATACCTTTTCCAGTTGCTTCTCTTCCACTCTGTTTCTCAGAACATCATCCATATCTGCTGTGACCATGGGCGGACTGACAACTCATGGGGCCCCCGGGCAATAGGGGATCATGGGGCCCCTGTGTCCTTGCCCAAACTCAAAAAAGCCTATGAAAAAGGTTCCAGGGGCATCTCATGGGGCCCCCTACTGACCCCGGGCCCTCAGGCAGTGCCCGAGTTTCCAAATGGTCAGTCCGCCCCTGGCTATGACTGAAGGTGGGATAGCCCACGTAAAAGTAGGCAAAGAGGAGGGAGTTGCAATAGTCAAAGAGAGATAACCCAGGCAATGCTGTAGTAGCCTTTTGGTGCTGTTAGTTAAGGGGCATAATTTGGAGATGTTGTGGAGATTGAGATGGCAAGATTGTGACAGCACATGGATTTAGGGTCTAAAGGAAAGAGTCCAGGATTAAAACTAGCACTTTTATGAGGAGATGGACAGATAGTTGCGCCATTGATTTAGATGAAGAAGTCACGGTAGGGGGTATGGTATTGGGGGGGGGGGGGGGGTGAATGAGCTCAGTTTTGAAAAGATTGAGTTTAAAAAAGTGGTGTGACATCCATACTGATATGTCAGATATGGGACTGCACCAATGAGCAGAGGAGTAGGGATATAGATTTGGGAAATGGTATTGGAAGATGTGGAATGCTATCACTTAAGGCTAGGATGAGATATAGATAGAGAATAGACCCCTTTGGAAAGGAAAGGAGGAGGTAGAATGATACTGAAGGTGTGGAGATATACAGTTGCAAGAAAAAGTATGTGAACCCCTTGGGATTACGTGGAGTTTTGCATGAATTGGGCATAAAATGTGCTCTGAACGTCATCTAAGTCACAACAATAGAAGAACACAGTCTGCTGAACATAATACTACACAAACATTAGATGTTGCCATGGTTTAATTGCACATAACATGTAAACATTCACTGGTTTCAAGAAGCACTGTCTGATGTGAACCATGCCTCGCAGAAAAGAGCTCTCAGAAGACCTACGATCAATAAGGAAAACATTAAACAAGAATGGAGTACATGGGAGGACACCACGGAGGAAGCCATTGCTGTCCAAAAAGAATATTGCAGCACGTTTGAAGTTTGCAAAAGAGCACCTGGATGTTCCACAGCACTACTGGCAAAATATACTGTGGACAGATGAAACCAAGATTGAGTTGTTTGGGAAGAACACACAACACTATGTCTGGAGAAAAAAAGGCACAGCACACACAACATCAAAACCTCATCCCCACTGTAAAACATGGCGGAGGGAGCATCATGGTTTGGGGCTGCTTTGCTGCAGGGCCTGGACGGATTGTTGTCATTGATGGGAAAATGAATTCCAGAGTTTGTCAAGACATTTTGCAGGAAAACGTACAACCATCTGTCCGCCAACTGAAGCTCCGCAGAGGATGGGTGATGCAACAGGACAATGACCCAAAGCATACAAGTAATTCAACAAAACAATGGCTGCAACAGCACAGAATACGCTTTCTGGAGTGGCCCAGTCAGAGTCCTGACCTCAACCCAATTGAAATGCTGTGGCATGACCTTAAGAGAGCGATTCACACCAGACATCCCAAGAATATTGCTACACTGAAATAGTTTTGTGAAGAGGAGTGGTCCAAAATGACTCCAGATCGTTGTGCAGGTCTGATCTGCAACTACAGGAAACGTTTGGTTGAGGTTATTGCTGCCAAAGGAGGGTCAACCAGTTATTAAGTCCAAAGGTTCACATACTTTTTCCTCCCTGCACTGTGAATGTTTACATGTTATGTGCAATTAAACCATGGCAACATCTAATGTTTGTGTAGTATTATGTTCAGCAG